AGTCGAGGGTCGGGGGTGCGCTGACGGGGCGAGCCGGGTGTGTGGCCCCGTGGATGACTCTGGAGGAGGTTCTTCCAGCCCCGCCATGCTGCTGGCCGGGATCCCAAAACCACCAGACCCACCCCACACCCGCAGGACCCCGCCAGACCACGAGGATGACCAGGAGAGCGATCACGCACATGGTGAGTCCCTGGCCGCTAGTGTACGGGCGTGGGGAGGGAAGGGGAGAGAGAATAGGGATGTAAGAGGGTTGCTGGGGTGAGATTATCGGGGCGCCGGTGGAGTTACGGCACGTAGGAAGGAAGTATAAACGAACAAGAATGTAGAATCATGAAGGCTAAAGGTCCGAAAAAAGAGTGTGCTCTTTTTATATACCTTTGAGACGGGTTTCGAAAGTTGTGGCTGTCAAGCAGCCTCGGCAGGTCAGCTGCTGAAGACTCAAAACCCATCATATCAGATGTAGGAAACAGGAGTAGGGATGCAAGGGAGAATATTGGGAAAGAGTAGATAATAAGAGGAAGAGGACTGGATAGTGTGTAGGTAGGACGCAAGGAGAGGAAGTGGGTAGGGTAAGATACAGAAGAACGAGAAGTGAGAGATAGAAGGGATGAGGTCAGTGAAGGAAAGAGACACATACGGACGAGTAGGGGGAAAATACATAAGATGGTGATACAGAAGAGGAAGAGACGCAGAATATGTGGGAGGCAATGCATGAGAGGAATGGGGGTCTGTGAAGAGTGGGATGGTGGTAGGAAGGAGTGGAGTGGTGGTGGGAAGGACGAGGTGGTGGTGGTAGGAAGGTGGGGTGGTGGTAGTAAGGCAGGGGTGGTGGCAGGAAGGTGGTGTGGTGGTAGAAAGGAAGGGGTGGTGGTAGGAAGGACGGGGTGGTAGTAGGAAGGAGGGAGTAGTGGTAGGAATGAGGTAGTGGTGGTAGGAAAGAAGGGGTGGTAGTAGGAAGGAGGGGGTAGTGGTAGGAATGAGGTTGTGGTGGTTGGAAGGAGGGAGGGTGGTGGTAGGAGGAAGGGGTGGTGGTAGGGTAGGGGTGACCAGAGGAGGCCAGAAAGGTGTGGTCGCGCCTGAAACTTGAAAGTTCGTCTAGTCTTAGTCTTTTCTAAACTAAACCTATCTGCACAAAACTAAACCTCTTAGTCTGTTTAAAACTAATCGTCCTAGTCTGTTGAAAGCTAAACCTCCTAGTCTTGGAAGCTAAACCTCCTAGTCTTGAAAGCTAAACCTTCTAATCTGTTTAAAGCTAAACCTCCTAGTCTGTACAGACCTAAACCTTTCAGTGTGTTCAGAACTATACCCGTCTTGTTTGCTCAACACTTTACTTACTCGTAGTCAGTTCAAAACTAAACCAGTTAACCACCAGTCCACTCAAACCTCTTACTCTTAGCCTGTTTTAAAAGAGAACCTTCTGCACGTTCTGGATGCTTCAAAGTTTGACCAACCTCGCCATCCTCCCACATGTTTACACAACAAAGTGTCAGTATTTACCGGTGACACCAGCAAACTCATCTTCAAACTTCAAACTCATCTTGTTTGTTGTCATGGAGTCTGAATTTCACATCTTGGCCCCGCTTCTTAGCCTTAAATCTGCTGGTGTAATTGGTTCTTCTGGGTACATGGGTCTTTTTTTTTCAAAACTGACTACCCATTTTCAGTTCCATTTATTCGCTGCCTTCATATGTGAACAGTATTTTCTAAAAAAAAAAAAAAAAAAAAAAAAAAAATGTTGTTATAATATGTAATATGGGCAAATAGATGAGATACACGGTCGACTAAAGAAGTGACTAAATTTCGAGACTGTAGAAGCAGTGGGGAGGTAAAAGTGATGGGTTCAATCCATTAACTTCGTAGTAGTAGTTTTGAGGTGGTCATCCTCAGCCTTGAGGAGTGTTTAGTTCTGTCTAGTCCTGAACAAAGTTGCTGTTATTCAACCAGAAAAATCTCCCAGGTGCAAGTAAATAGTTGGAGATGAGACACAACAGTGAGGAGTGAAGTACACGCACCATCTCGCTGTTGCTAAACTATTATGTTCTGCACTACGGTTGTAATGCTACCCGGCCACACAACTCTTCAAACAATAATGATAAGGACACTGGTAACAGATGATCCCTTTTAGTACAGCGTTGTACATATTAAAAGGTATTGTCTCTTAGCAGTGTCTTCATCCCAACTTGTCGGCTTTTACCACTGTCTACCTCGCTTCAAACAAACTAGGAGAGTGCAGCTAGCAAATCACCAGAGTGCAGTTCAGATGTTTACTTAGTGCTTGTGGAGTGAGAGTTGTAGTTGCAGAAATTATAGAATTATTTTTTTTCATTTATGTAAATCACTAAACCCGTATGGATCATTCAGTACCAGCAGAGGTGGAGACTCGATTCCTCCTCTCTGACCAGTCAGACTTGATAAATGAAGATTAAGACAAATGTGCAACAGTTCGGTATCTTTATTGAGGAAACGTTTCACCTGCACAGTTGCCTTCTTCAGTCATATATAAAGGGAGCAGTAGTAATGAAATGAAGATTATGTAATTGGAAAAAAAAGTATTTGAGGTGGTCCGTACCTTAGACTGGAGAAGAGTTCAGCTCCATGGAGGTACACTACTCTTAATACGTACCGTTTGGTTGTTGCTATGATGAGATGTACTCATTAAGTACAAGAGTAATATTGTGTGTGTGTGTGTGTGTTCACCTAATTGTGGTTGCAGGGGTCGATTCATAGCTCCTTGCCCCTCCTCTTCACTGGCCTCTACTGGGTTACTCTTCCCACTCCATGAGCTTTATCATACTTCTTCTTAAAGCTATGTATGGATCCTGCCTCCACTACATCACTTCCTAGACTATTCCACTTCCTGGCAACTCTGTGACTGAAGAAATACTTCCTAACATCCCTGTGATTCATCTGTGTCTTCAACTTCCAACTGTGTCCCCTTGTTGCTGCGTCCCATCTCTAGAACATCCTGTCTCTGTCCACCTTGTCGATTCCTCTCAGTATTTTATAAGTAGTTATCATATCCCCCCTATCTTTCCTGTCCTCCAATGTCTTCAGGTCGATCTCCCTTACTCTTTCCTCGTAGGACATACCCCTTAGCTCCGGAACTAGTCTTGTTGCAAATCTTTGCACTTTCTCTCCCCTCATGGAAGGTTCCTTGATGTTGGTGAGGGGCTCTTGATTTAGGGAATTGGATCTGTGCTCCAGTTCCCCGAATTAAGCCTGAATGCCTTCCACATCCCCCCCAGGCGCTGTATAATCCTCCGGGTTTAGCGCTTCCCCCTTGATTATAATAATAATAATTTGCACTTTCTCTAGCTTCCTTACATGCTTGGCTAGGTGTGAGTTCCAAACTGGTGCCGCATACTCCAATATGGGCCTAACGTACACGGTGTATAGGGTCCTGAATCACTGCAGCAGTGATTTGGTTGATGTGCCTCTGGAGATGTGCCTGGTGTTATACTCACCCCAAGATTCTTTTCCTTGAGTGAGGTTTGAAATCTCTGGCCCCCTAGAGTGTACTCCGTCTGCGGTCTTCTTTGCCCTTCCCGAATCTTCACGACTTTCTCTTGGTGGGGTTGAACTCCAGGAGCCAGTTGCTGAACCATACCTGCAGCCTCTCCAGATCGTTTTGTAATTCTGCCTGGTCCTCATCCGATTGAATTCTTCTCATCAACTTCACTTCATCTGCAAACAGGGACACTTCAGAGTCTATTCCTTCCGTCATGTCGTTCACAAATACCAGAAACAGCACCGGTCCTAAGACTGACTCCTGTGGAACCCCGCTCGTTACAGGCGCCCACTCTGACACCTCACCAAGCACCATGACTCGCTGTTGTCTTCCTGACAGGTATTCCCTGATCCACTGTAGTGCCTTCCGTTATCCCTGCCTGGTCCTCCAACTTTTTCACTAATCTCTTGTGTGGAACTGTGTCAAACGCCTTCTTACAGTCCAAGAAAATGCAATCTACCCACCCATCTCTCTCTTAGAAAATGCAATCTACCCACCCATCTCTCTCTTGTCTTACTGCTGTCACCCTGTCATAGAACTCTAGTAGGTTTGTGACACAGGATTTCCTGTCCCTGAACCCGTGCTGGCTGTTGTTGAGCTCGTTCCTTTCTAGGTGCTCCAGCACTCTTCTCCAGATAATCTTCTCCGTTACTTTGCATATTATACGTCAGTGACACTAGTCTGTGGTTCACTGCTTCATGTCTGCCTCCTTTTTTTAAAAATCGGGACTACATTTGCTGTCTTCCATACTTCAGGTAGTCGCCCTGTTTCTACAGATGTGTTGATTGTTGTTAATGGTACACATAGCGCCTCTGCTCCCTCTGTGTACTCACCTACTTGTGGTTGCAGGGATAGAGTCTTAGCTCCTGGCCCCGCCTCTTCACTGGTTGCTACTGGGTCCTCTCTCTCCCTGCTCCATGAGCTTTATCAAACCTCGTTTTAAAACTATGTATGGTTCCCGCCTCCACTACGTCACTTTCTAGGCTATTCCACTGCCTGACAACTCTATGACTGAAGAAATACTTCCTAACATCCCTTTGACTCATCTGAGTCTTCAACTTCCAATTGTGACCTCTTGTGTCTTTGTCCCTTCTCTGGAACATCCTGTCTGCAGTATTTTATAAGTGGTTATCATGTCTCCCCTGACCCTCCTGTCCTCCAGTGTCGCCAGGCTGATTTCCCTTAACCTTTCTTCACAGGACATTCCCCTTAGCTCTGGAACTAACCTTGTCGCAAACCTTTGCACTTTCTCTAATTTCTTGACGTGCTTGATCAAGTGCGGGTTCCAAACAGGTGCTGCATACTCTAGTATGGGCCTGACGTACACGGTGTACAGTGTCTTGAACGATTCCTTACTAAGGTATCGGAACGCTGTTCTCAGGTTTGCCAGGCGCCCATATGCTGCAGCAGTTATCTGGTTGACGTGTGCTTCCGGAGACGTGCTCGGTGTTATACTCATCCCAAGATCTTTCTCCTTGAGCGAGGTTTGCAGTCTTTGGCCACCTAGTCTATACTCCGTCTGCGGTCTTCTGTGCCCTTCCCCGATTTTCATGACTTTGCATTTGGCGGAGTTAAACTCAAGAAGCCAGTTGCTGGACCAGGTGTCCAGTCTGTCCAGGTCTCTTTGAAGTCCTGCCTGGTCCTCATCTGATTTAATTCTCCTCTTTAACTTCA